GGCATCTGCGGCGTCGCCGCCGGAGGGGCGGAGCCGCTGCTGCTGAAGCGGCGGCCGCTCGCGCGCGACTTGGTGACGTACCTGCTCTCGATCTCGTGGCTGTGCTACATCTTCAGCGACGGCCGCATCGAGGCGGTCGAGGCTGCCGCCATGCTCGCAGGCTACGTCTGCTACATGCTGGTGGTGGTCTACGCGGCAGACGTGCGGCGGCTGTACCGCGTGCACTGGCTGGGCAAGGTCATAGTAACAACAAGAATAAGAATAATAGCACTGGCTTGGCAAGGCGACGAGCTACCGACTCCCTCCCAGACCCATGCCGCCCTCCCCACCCCCGTCGAGGCGGCCGCCCTGCGCCGCACAGGCGGCCAACCTCGCCGTCTTCGCCTCGCTCCTCATCCTCTCCACTGCGCACACCTGGTGCATCGTCAGAGACGAGGCACCCGTGAGCGGGGCCTTGCTTTCACACGCCCCGCCCCACGGGCTCGCCACCGCAGGCGGCGCGGCGACCACAGGAAGTCGCAGCTCACAAAGGCGAAGGGCAAGGTCCTGATCTGCACGTACGTAGTCTGCATCTCCTCCTACCCCATCGTACAGCGGTGGTGGAGCCCGCACGATCCGCCCAACCTGCTCGGCTTCCTCTCCTGAAGGCGCCCAGGGAGGGGGCGGGGAAGGCAGAGTCGAATGTCAGGGTTGCATGCACCATGCTCCTACTTGGAGGGCCCGGGGAGGGCCTGCGCTAGGCCTCAGTAGGGCCTACGAGCTACGTCGTATCGCTCTCGCTGGACCCTGGAAGGAGCAGCAGGAGGGGCCGAGAGGCGGTCTGTCTGTCCGCCAAGCGTCTCGCAACACACACTGGAATCGTGTGCGCATGCAGTGCGAACTCTTTTGTTTGTGTATTAGAATTACAATTAGTGTCTGACTGTCTCGTGTCTGTGCTCGCCCCCCTCCCCAGGCCTCCAGCGAGATATTATGCATAATAATAACAAAATTACAATTACTGGCGGCGCGCGGTGTGTGTATCGACACAACAATCAACAAAACTTTTTTCACGCAAAGCTCCAAAGACCAGCTCCTCTCGCCTCTCGACAGGTCGTCATTTCATTCGTACGTCGCGGGCTGCTGGCTACCGGCGGTTGGGTTCTCGGGAGCGTGCGCTGGTCCGAGAGTGTCGAGCACGCACACGCAGCGCGCCGCGCAGGCCGCGTGGAAGGCGCTGCTCTTGAGGGGCGGCACGTCGAGCCAGCGCAGAGAGGGGAAGGAGCCTCCAAGCAAGCGGGCCGCGAGGGCGTCGATGCCGGCGCACGTGATGCGGTCGTTTCCGCAGAGGAAGAGCTCCCTCAGCGCCGCGAGGCCCAGCATGCCGCTCTCGGCGAGCGCAATAACGCCCTCGTCGTCGATGTCGTTCGACCGCAGCCCGAGGCCCACCAGCCGCGGCATGGCCCCGCGAGCCAGCGCTCTAGCGAGCGCCTCGACGCCGCGGCTGCTGATGCGGGTCGAGCCGAGTCCGAGCACCTCCAGGGCCGGCAGCACGCGCGCCGGGCTCTCGCTCAGCCGCGCGGCCAGCATGGCGCACGACGCGTCGCCGAGGTGGTTGCCCGCGAGGTCGAGGCTCTTGAGCGAGGGAGAGGCGCCCGCCGCCAGCGTCTCGACGATCGGCCGGAGGGAGGCCTCGCTCAGGAGGCTGCCGTAAAGCTGGAGCCAGCAGAGCCGCCGGAACGAGCCGCGCTCCAGCAGCAGCGCGAGCGTCGGGGCCTCTGCGACGGCGAAACTCTCGCTCAGCCCGACGGTCGTCGCCAGTCTCATGTGTGACGCGGTCGTCCTGTGAGACCCGCAAAACGCGGTCGCCCGGCCCCACCAAAGCCTCAAACGCTCGACTTCGGTGCGGTCAGCGCCGGTCGCGCGGCTGCGGAAGGCAGAGCGGGTGTAGCGGCAGCAGCCCACGAGTGCGCACGCAGAGGCGGGAGCGAAAGGATCGGCGAGGAGGCGGAAGATCTGACGCAGCACGTCCGGAGGCAGGTCCTCGAGGCGATTCTTTGGCATCGACTCGAGCCGACGTGCACAGTCTGGATACTTTCACAGTAGGGTGATAAGGCAAGAACCTCGCGTGCGACGACAGTGAGGGTGTGAGAGACAAACCCAGGGAAGGTCTTTCACTACCTTACAGCCCCTGCCTGAGCTCAGGCTCGACAGAGGTCGGTTTGAACATTGCGCTTAGCGTGTGGACCACTTGCTCGATGTCCCATTCACACCTTCTCAGAAGCGAATCCAAGCAAGTGGGCGGGCTCTCTAGCCCGTAACCCGGTCCCGATCATCTGGCCCGCTGGGTGTGCTTCTTAGCCCCCCGGCCCTGGATGTGAGGTTACCGACTGCACTCCAAGTGCTCCAAGTGCAAGTAAGTGCTGCTTGCTTTTGGGGCAATTTTGGTTGGCCTGCTGTGACGCTCGCGCGCTGCAGCCTCCTCCCGTTCCGATGCGAGGTCCTCCCGCGCCCGGCTCAGCTCCGCGCGCCGCCGCGTCGCGCTCCGCCGCGAGCTCTTCCCCGCTCTTCTGCGCGCCGCCGCCACCATCCATGCTCCTCAACCGCCCGCGCCTCTGCTTGGTTGGCCTGTATACACCACCTTTCCAAACAAAAGAAAAACAGAGGCCCCCCAGCACTTAAACATCTGGAAATTTCGAGGGAAAACAGACGCCCCCTCTAGGCCGGAGGATTTCAGCCTGGGACGAGCGCGCGCTCTCGTGCATGCCGCGAGCATGCTTGGGACTGCTAGGCCCGCTGCGCTGTACCAAAAATTTGACGCGGGTACTGCTAGACAGAGAACTTTGGGGGGGAAGCCGAGTGCGAGCGGAGCGTGCAGAAGCTATGTAACTCTGGTTAGTCGGTAATGATGAGAGACAACTTCTCACGCCGATCTGCGACCTTGGAGCACTTCCTCAAAGGCACATCAGCCCTCTCGACCCGCCCAATTTTCTCAGCACGCACGTCTGTGAACTCATTGTGACAAGGTCGCTTTTTATACACGGTCACGGATCTTGCTGGTCTCGAGAGCGACTCGTGACAACTGTGGCGTGTGGGGCGGGGGGGACCACAGTGCTTAGTGGTGCGCGGTCGGTGGACCACCGGGACCGGCGGCCCGCGGAGATCGGAATACAGTTGTACGAGTAATAAATAAATACACAAAGAGTTGACAAATGCCAAATCGTCTGTTCCTTTTTACCCATCTCACAGTAGAGGTGTCCGTTTTATTTATTTATTTATTTGCCAAATTCCAAAACGATCGCAAACATAGAAACCCAAACACAGGCGGCGACGTGGCATACGAGCTCGTAGGTGAAGGAGGCGGGTACAACTTCCAAGGACGCACGCGAGCGAGAAGCAGCACCAGCAGACAGGAGCAGTGACGATGATGATTCAGCGCGTGAACGCCAATTCGCCGGCACAGGCCGTGAAAAGCCGCGGCTTGGCCTGTGCACGTTATTCTCGAATATCTTTGAGAATATAGAGGGTCCCGCGCACTTCCATATTCGAGAATATGAGAAACAGATGCCCAGGCCGGCTTTTCCCTCAAGAATATACGAGCTTTCCGCAGCCCTTGACCTTTAGAGCTTAGTAGACCTCGAGTCCAAAGATATTCTTGAATATTCTTGACATTACCGCTGCGGCGTCTAAAACGGTCTTGACGAGAGAGCTCGAAACAGCTATTTCCCCCCTCAACAGTAGGAATACAGTAGGTTTCGGGTCGGATGCCGACTGAAATCTTTAAGTTTTGGAGGTTCTGAGATTCGCATTCGGATGTTCTGAGATTCGGATTTGGGAGCGGCTTTTGGTCTCCGTCGACCTACGCGTGGTCAAGATATTCTCAATATTCGAGAATATTCTCGAGAATATAACGGTCCGGGGAGAATATAAGCAAAAGAATATAGATAGTCCTGGGCGAGAATAACGCGCACAAGCGACAAGGCACAAGCTAAAGCCGCGCACGCCGGGCCGACGATTACGCAGCTGCGTGCCAAGCAGGCCGCTCTTGTGGCCGCAGCCAGCTCGCAGCTTCGAGTGATGCCGAGGCGAGTGTGGCGAGGCCGCCCGTTGACGAAGCCAAGCGGTGGGCAAGCGGAATAAAACGGAAAAAGGGGAGAAGGACAGGGTCCCCACCTGCACGAGCAGGATCATGGAAGGACGATAAAGGGACAAAAGGGGAACGGGAGCGGGGAGCGCGACACTGTGGGGGGCTGGCTACATTGGGCCGCCATTTTTCTTCTTCCAAAGTTGAGGCGGTGTGCCAGGTCGGTGCGTGTGCAGGTCGGTGCGTGTGAGCAGGACGTCGTCTGAGAGCTCCCTCGGAGAGCTCCCTGGCGTTCGCGTTTTACATGGTTGACCACGTGGTGCGCCGCTCGCTCTGGAACGGTCTCCGCCGCTCCTGTGTCGCGGATAACCCACCCCTCTCGCTCGACGAGTACGAGGCACGCAACGCCGCCTCGTTCGCCGCGTTTGCAGCGGAGGTTGCGCCGCAGCCTCTCCTTTCCCGATGGCGGGCGGATCCACAGAACCCGCTGCTGATGCTGCTTCTGTTCAGCATTCACGGCTGTTCAGCAGCTGCCGTCGTGGGCGCTCACTCGTGGCCATACGCCGGCTGCGCGGCGCTGCTCGGCCTCTTCTGCGCAGACGCAATGACGGGACTGGTGCACATTGCTCTTGACTACACCCCAGTGCCATTCGCAGACCCGCTGAGCCGCACGCCTTTCGAGCTTGCGTGCTTTGGCTTCCAATACCACCATGTCAAGCCGGACAACTGGCTCACGGCCGATATGTGGCGCGTGCCTCGCCATCGCCAGAGCCGCAGCAGCCCCTCTCGCGCCTCACCTGCTGCCACGGCGACGGCACACCCGTAGGTACTACGGCATTTGCCGGACGGGCCTCTCCTTCTACTTTCCAATGGCCGCGCTGCACTGGCTGGCGTGGGCCCGGCTCGCTGACTTTGCAAACCTCGTCCTGTACGTCGTCCTGCACGTCGGCATGTTTTGCCAGGTGTCGCACGCTGCTGCGCACGGCCGCTGGGCCAGCAGCCGGTGGGTCAAGCTGCTGCAGCGCTCCGGTCTCTGGGTCTCGCCCGCGGCGCACCGGCTGCACCACTGCGAGCTCGACAAAAACTTCTGCATCGTGAACGGATGGGCGAACCCTCTCGTCGACCGGCTCTTCCGCACTCTAGTCGCGCACCGCTTGCCGCCGAGCATGACTCCAGCGGTGCAGAGGGAGGTCTACATTGCGCGGCGCGCGGCTAACGCCGTCGAGGCGCCGCCCTACCACGGGCTCGTCCCCGGGTATCGCGAGAGACTCCGCCACAGGCAGAGCAGCTCGAGGAGCTGCCTGGCAAGGCCGAGGGCAGGCAGGTAGCGGTGCAAATCGGTGCGCCGGGTCGGGGAGAGAGAGTCCGCAAGTGGTGGGACAGCGGGTGTTCATGTACGCCAGTGGCAGGATGTGAAATGAAACGCGCGGGTTTTGCGGGGGCCCAGTGTGAGCCCCTGCACGAGGGGCGCGTGACGCGTGTGGGCGTGCGTGGGCTGTGTGGGGCTGGCTTGATTTGCCTTGATCACGCACCGCGCTCACGGTCGTCCGTCCGCTTTAAGAATCTCACCACTCACGTGTCTCGTGTGCACATATGGTGAACCTCGCGCATGTGTGTGCTTGTGAAATAAACAGGTTTTCTGTCGCGCCTGACACTGGTCTCATCTCTCTCATATGTCATCTCGCTCGACGTGTGAAGTTCTCCGCTCCGCGCGAGCGCACACCACTTCGACTCCGTCCCAACCGCCCGCTGGCGTGGAGCTTGCACAAGTCGCGCACGGCGCCCGGAACCCACGGCACCGAAAAGTTGCGCAGCTGGCCTATGCTCGGCTCGAGCGGCACCCCGGGGTCGTCGCAGGCGGAGAGCGACGTGCAGAGCCGCCACGAGGCGGAGCGCTGGTGCGCCCACGGCGACGCGCGGCAGGAAAGCCGCGGCGGGACGTGGCTAGCGTTGGACGCCTGCTCCGCGAACCACGCGTGCGCGCCCGCCTTCTTGAGCCCGTGCACCGCGAGAGCGTGCCTCGCCGAGAAGCGGCGGTAGAGCGGCCACGGGTAGTACTCTAGGTTGGGCGACACCTCGACGGCATGCAGCCTGCTCCGCGCAAAGACGCGCGCGCCGAGCCAGCCGATCGCGACGTCCGTCACGAGACTGCACCGCCCGGGCTGCCACCTCGCCTTGAGCGCCTCGAAGGCGCCCTCGCGCTGCGCCCAGCCAAAGGCGCCCGCCGTCGCGTTGTCCGCAAGCCTGCGCGCTGCGGCGGTGCTCAGGTAGGTGAGCCCTCCCTGCGTCATCGCAAAGGAGCGCGCCGCCACCGCCGCCCGACTCTCTCGCTTCAGGCGCGGGTCCGTCTCCGGCCACGCGCTCACCGAGCAAGGAGAGCACCACGAGAAGCCGACCCCGCCGAGCGAGGTTGGAGGCGCGTGCTGGTCCCACGCAGCGCGCTGCCAGTGCTGCCAGTCGCCGCCCCAGGCCAAGGCGCCTGAAGGCAGCGCCACATATACACTCGCGAGGTGCGTGGCCATCCGAACCGGATCGAACCAAGTGTCTGAATCGACCCAGCCGACGAAGGAGCTGGCCGGGTGCCGCAGGCTCGCATGGTCCAACCACGCGAGGATCTTGGCCACGCACTGCGTCTCCCGCGCCTCCAGGTAGGGTGGCCGCTTGAGCGGAATAATCGCCGGACCGCGCTCCTCCGTCTCGTCGGAGAATACGCACAGTCGGATGGAAACCTGCGTGCTGGCGTTTGTTTCGAAATACGAGAGCATGGCGCGCTCGAGTGGCGCAGACGGGGTGCGTGACAGCACGCAGAATCTAGCGAATGGCCGGCTCGTTGGTGGCCCGGCCACATGGGCATGTACACGTCGAGATGTGCCTCGCATGGTGCAACTCGGACCAGCCTGGCGAGGTACTTCCAGCCTGCTGTGGGAACAGCTGACGCAGTCTCGCCGAGGCTCGCCCCAGCATCTCGGGTTGACTCTGCCAGACAAAACCCCGAGAGGCGTGGGAGTACCTCGCCAGGGACCAGCGCGCTTCCACCTTTTCTTCAGAGCGTTGTTTCAGAGACACATACTCGTATCCTGTGCGCTGTTCACATAAACGCACAACCCCGGGCCCGAAATCGCACAGAGACAGTCACGCAACACGGGGTCCCAGGGAAGGCGAGCAAAAAGCTTATCGCGCGCGCTAGACGCCGACTCGGAGGCCGCACCGACGACCGACCGGTCAGGCGCGCAGCCGGAGAGAGAGGGAGGCGCTCAATCGCCGCACGCGGCGAGCGCCTCCACCACCTTTTCTTTACAGCCTTGTATTGAGAAGAAAATACGTCGTATGGCGCTATGCGCTGGTCTGTGATCCTGCTCGTGCAGGTAGGGACCCTGTCCTCGTCCCATCCCTCGTTTGCTTTGCGTGTTTTCTTTTCTTTCTCGTATTTTCTTTTTTTGGTCTGTGAGAGGTTGAGGTGCGAGCCCTGGAGGCCCTGGGGAGGGGGGGAGACTACCCGCGGGCCTAGAAGGCCCGCGCGCAGGGGGGGGGGGGGGGGACATTGAGAACCGGTAAAATGAGTGCGCGACACGCATTGTTGCGAGCAGCGTTGTTGAGCACTTGAGCACTGGATAGGGTCGATTCCGCATTGTTCGGGACCCCTCGATCGTCTCGCCCTCCCTCACTGGTGTGTGTGTACATTGGGGGGGGGTCATAACAAACACGGTACAGGATCGAGGTGCACGCTGCAGAAGCAGTGTCGTCCCCCCTCTCCATCATCTCACAGCGTTGTTGATGTTCTCAGTTCTGCGCGAGGTCGCCACAGTGCACAGACGGTGGCGGCGCGCGAGAGCTGTTGCGAGTGGTGCTGGGCGAAGCCCCGGGCGGCGGGCGCTGCCGGAGGCTGTGTTCACATAAACGCGCCTTTTCACACGCCTTTAACCTGATTTAACCTGATTGAAGGGCTCTCACAGGCCAAGATCGTGCAGGGCGGGGACGCATGCACATCCTAAATCCCATATCTCGTCTCAGTACTCAGAGATCAGAGTTTGACCGTTTTATTTATTTAACCTCATTTATTTCGCTTGGGCGTGGAGCATAGTCTGAGGGTTAGGTTTCTGGAGCCTCGGGTGCTTTTACGCTTTTGATCGGGTCAGGGGAGAGTGCGACTTTTACCACTTTGGTCGTCTCGGAGCGCCCAACTTTTAGCATTTTTCAAGTTTTTCTTCGGCGCTGCGCGCCGGGTGCAGTAAGTACTAGCTATCCGTCCCGCAAACGCCGCAAACGGCAGAAGTAGTTCCTGCACACTATGCCTAGAAAAATGCCGCTCGCCTCGAAAGCGCCCGCCGGTGTGTGTCCAAACACATGCACATGTGCATGCACATGTCCATGTCCATGTCCATGTCCATGTCCATGTGCATCCATGTCCATGTCCATGTCCATGTCCATGTCCATGTCCATGTCCATGTCCATGTCCATGTGCATGCACATGTAGCGCTACAAGTTTGTCACACATTGATAAGGGCGCTGCTGAGCACGAGGCTGAGGCGCTGAGCCGCTGAGCCCGGGGCTCTTTGCGGCGGCGGCGATGCGAAAGGTAAAAGGATCTGGTGGCGATGAAGGTGGTGGAGCTCAAGGAGGAGCTGGGCGAGCGTGGCGAGGCCCTCTCGGGCAACAAGGCGTGGCTGCGCCGCCGGCTGCACGCCGCTATAGCGAGCGAGGATTTGGAGACCGCGCTGCGGGCGCCGCCGGAGAGCAGAATGTCCAAAATTTTCGCGCGCGCCTGTGGCGCGCGACTTTTACCATTTTGCCCCGGGCGGGCCCACTTTTGTCGTTTTGCCCCAAATCTACGCCCGGGCGTGCTTTTAGCGTTTTGACCCAAATCGGCCGAACTTTTAGGATACCCTCAGACTATGGCGTGGAGAGGGGTGTCCGATTTTCCGATCTTGTGGATGGCCTGAATGAAAGTTTAAGGTGTTGCTGCGCAAAAGGTTAACCTCATTCCTTATCTTCGCACGCCTTCCTTTGCGTCTGTGGTCTGACCTGAGTTGGTAGTCTTTGACGCGGTCTCCAGAATAAAAAAACGTGTCCCTTGGAGTGTATTCTGAGTGTTGCCAATGGAGCGTCCGCGGCCACGCAGGACTCGCTCGCCCGAGCTCGGAGCCGCCGGCGGACACGGTCATGGGCAGAGCAACAATCATTCTTTTTCCTTGGCGGCAACGCGATGGCGGCAAGCTCTTTGCGCGCCCGCCCTCGCCACGCCGAAGACCAACCGACGTCGGACCGCGGTGAGACCACGCCGCCCCCCGCGCCCGCCCGCGCCCGCAGCGTGAACACATACGCGCGTCCCTCACCGCACGGAAACATACGCGCCAGCCGCGCAGCAGCCTCACATGCAGCGCAGACCGCATGCCCGCGCCCTGGGCCGCCGACGACCCGGTCGGGCGGGCTGAGCGGCCGCCGCACACCACCAGGCAGGCGCACGACCACCCGCAGCGCGCCGCAGCCCGCCGCGCAGCCCTGCCAGCCAAGCCTGCACCTCCCAGCTGCACAAACAGGCGCACAACAGAGTACAGCACACAGCACACACGGCGGCGCGCGCGCAGCACACACAGACGCGCACGCGCATCCAACACGCACACGCGCACAGCACGCGCGCGTCGCACGCCAGCGCAGCGCTGCACACAGAGCACACTTGCCCACATCAGCAGCAGCCAGCCTGCCACAATCCTCATCTCACACACGCGCGCGCACACTCCCCCCTACCGGCGCACGCATTGGGCGTCGCCGAGAGCTCCCAAAGCTGACTTGTGTGGCTGCTTGTGCTGCCGGGAGGTGAAGGATTGGCTGGTCGGGCCGCGCGTCCTGCTGCCCGCGTGTCTGGGTGCTTGTGCTTGCCGGTTGGGGTGCCCCTGTTCCGCCCGGTTTGGTGGGTTCGTTTCCTCTGTC